GATAAAGTTAGTTCACATTCATGTATATTTTGAAAACTTATTATAAGTTTATACATTAATGTATTACAATTTTCTTACACATACATATACTTCCAACCATATATACTTCCATAGATGGTTTGGAAGCTTTATGGAGTTTTTTTGATTGGTGATGAGTAGTATGGTATGAATAAGTGTTGAAAGCATCAATCTTTCGTCGGTTAAAGAAAATTGAAAAGGGAATTGCTAAGACAGAAGGGAATTTCTTCCACATAAAATATCCTTAACTGTCTTGTACTTTTTAATTTTATCTTTTAAATAGGGTATTTGAATTTTAATTTAAGCAAAATATTGTTAAATTACAAGATTTAATGTTTTTGTGGTCGTTTGGATTGTGTTGATGGCCGTTAAATATTTATATCGTGGCACAAAAACTATTAAAAGGCGTAAGTATTTTATCATGTGATATTTTCTTCATGATTAATCTGATTAGTATATAAATAAAATCCTCAATAACGCAGAGCTTAGATATTTGGTGTTCTGTGTTAACAAATTTTAACTTAAAATCTGATAAATTAAGTAAGATCATTATGCTTATTATTCTGAATAAACTAGTAAGAAGACACAAAATAAGAACGACTTTAAGTTTTACTTCACTATGTTTTATCACACCCCAAAGTGTATACGAAAAATGTGGTGTTGTAGTCAACCAAAATGTCTGAAGGTGTAAATTTTTCAATGTTTCAATTTTTTTTTGTTCTCATCTCTTATGTATATAATTTTTCTAATCTCATGTAGACAATAAAATTAAATAGGAGTTCCAGGGTTGAAAAGTATAGAGGAGTGAATATTGAGTAATTGTCACTGGTGTGGTGAACAAAAAATTAAAATAAACAATCATGATATGCTAGTAATTTTGCGAAAGAATTCAAATTATTGTTGGCAAGTTTTTGATTGAATGATTTTGTAGCTACAAGAATAGATCAGCTGTTAACATAATTTAATACCGATTTGAATCCACGCTGTTCAAATATTTTCTTGAATTTCAACACGATTTGATTCATTATTCGCAAAATGATCACATTATCCCAACAAATCATTTTAATTTAACTTAATATCTAAATCAAATCGAGGTGAACAAATTGATTACCCCGCAGACAGTATCAACTAAAAAAGGGTATTTAACCGAGAGACAGAGTTAAAAATCCTTGAGTTTAGTCTTTCATTTCAAATTGAATTTCAATTATAAAAGCATTCGTTATTTATTCCAGGGGGTGATTGGAATAACACGTCAATGTTTTATCTTTCCTGTTTCTGCCATATTAAAAACCCATATATTGTTATAGACAGTTTGTTATATAAAACAAAATTCTTTCAATTAATACAAACTAGTCTATTTATACTGTATATATTGAACTTGTGTCTATTGTTGATTAGAGTATAACACTCATGTTTTTCTTTAACAGTATTCTTTTTGAAATTTATATTTGATTATGACAAATAAATTTTACATTTTAACAAACAATTGTGTAAAAGAAACCCGTGTAAGACATAGCATATTAGGATTGTTATAGTATAACAATATGTTTACTGAAGTACTAGTTTTGTGGGAAGTGATGTATAAAAGCGGGCAAATATGATGGATCCAAACATGCCAGTCCATTTCCTCTTCAGAATGTTACTGAAAAACGTATAACAATAATGAATTTAACCACCAATACCAACGCAATGGAACTCAACGAAAATCCATTAGAACTAATCGGAGGCTATAATTGAAACGATATTCCCTGTAACGTTTCTTGCTTTCAATTTTGACTTTTTCGTTTAGGTTTTTTGAATAACAATAATTATAGCTATACATTCTTCAGAACTAGTTTTCTAAGGAAATAACAAATTAGTTAAGAGTTAATAAAAAATGTTTGCTAGTTTTAATCAAGCTCAATTTTTTTATATATTTTTATTCTGTTAAGGAGTGGGTTAATTTGTCTGTTGCTACGATACGAGTGAAAATCGTTAACTTAACTTACATGAAAATATTTTATTTTTCTTGCTTATTATAAGTAAATAAAAAAAGCTTTTCTTAATAAGGCTATAAACCTCAGAATCCCTAAATAACGAGATACTCATTAGGAACGAAATATTTTTTAAGTCAAAATATGTAAGTCACAATAATCTAGATATGTCACTAGATACTTTAGGTATATAAATCTAGAGCTAGTTTATATTTAAAATTGAGATAACCTTACTCGTAATTGGAAAATATCAGTAAAAAGCCCCTATCAATGAGAGGATATCAGCCCTTACTATTCTGTCTAAAAGATTGTGAGATAAGATGATACAACATAATCGAGCACGTCAGATATACATGTATGTATGTACGATATTTAGAAAAATAATCAAGAGAGTGTTTCAAAGGGTCAATATTAAAATGCATGTTTAAATTATTCATTCGAATTTGTATGTGGCAATTTTCAGCAAATTCGTTTAGGGTGGGTGTTGAGGGGTTTTAGTAGACGGTGTCTTAAAACACAACAAATATAACGGCAGCCCATCAATCGAATTGTATTTATATCTGTTATTATACTGTATACTCACATGCTTAATACTTGAACTCTCTTGTTTTCGTCCTGTGCATTTCATTATTTATTATTGAATGCGTTAATCATAAGTTTCTTTCAATATGTCTAATTAAATACCTAAGCTGACATTACAAGATAGGTGGACAGGGAATATCGGATTGATTTAAACCATATTATTTTTAATATTCATGGCATAAATCAATATATAAAAGGTGTGTTCTTTCATTCTATTTAAATGTTCAACCCACGTAAAAATGTTAGTGGAACTTGTGTTAATGGTAAGTTTCAAAAGACCAATTGTTTTATCTAACAAACATTCGTGCTTTTCCTCAAATACATGTAGGTGAACATGAACTAAACAATAATATCGTAAAAATAATAATTATCAAGAGTCGTATGAATTTAATGAGGAATATTAATTCCTCATCCATAGCGTTGGTAGAGAGCTAACACGTTGGCTTGGCTTTTTACATGATTACCATGTATTTTAATTACCTTTGTTTTCCTTCCCAGCCCTGGTTTACATTTTTCTTGGATTGTTTTAGGTTGTTTTGTTTTGTTTTAAGAAATATATCCTTCGTATTAGATATATCTAGGGATTATAAATAAATTTTCACCCCAAGCTTTAAATAAAACATTTTATTGAAATTTCTTCAATTTGTTTTGATTTTCTGTTAATATTTTGTTGTTTTTTCATCACCAACATGACAACCCATAAGGCCAATGTTAATCTTTTTTAGTTTTAAAATCATAATTTTTGCTTATTATTTAGCCTATTTTAATTTATAAGGGGATTCTGCACATCTACAGGCAAATATCTTTCTAACATTATGCGTAGGTTTTTCCTGCAATGAACAGGAGCCGAGAAAAAAGATGTTAAATAAACATGCTTGCCTATTATTATATAGATAATTTGCCCCATGTTAAATAATTTGTCTCCATAAGAATAGTTGAATTTCCATTTTTGACCCTATTAACATAATTATTCTCAAAATACAAATGACACCTGCACATATAGGACCTTTCTTTTAGCATAATCCGAGTGTAAATCGGTCCAGTAGTATGGTCAGTCTGGCTGTAGTAATCTTAAACATTTGGCCCCATGTCAAATCTCCATAAGAAAAGTTGAATTTCCATTTTTGACCCAAACATAAATATTTTCAAAATACAAATAAAACCTGCACATATAAGACCGATAACCTTTCTTTTATTACAACCTGTGTGTAAATCGGTCCAGTAGTATGGTCAGGCTAGCTGTCATAAGTTTTGTAAAAGTGTTCTTAATATATAAGATTGGAAATAGTTTTTATAAAATAAAATACCCGTGCCATATTGTAAAACACCAAAAATATATCAATGATGACTTTTAAGTGTTAGAGGTTATAAACTGCCAAAAGATGAGACAGTGATAACATGCATATGTAGCACCAGGGTGATGAGGATAGGATCACAAGAAACCCAGGCTAAGACAGGATCACGGAAGGATCAGAAAGGATGTGTTGTCGTTAACCTGAACACAACCCGGCAATCCTACCTTGATTGGACAGTAAATAACGTGTTGCGATTCCAGCGAAATCTGAATTAATTTGTCGGTACATAGCTAGTACCGACTAACAGTAGTCATATGCACTACTCTTCAATCTAGCAGGACTAACAGTAATCATATGTACTACTCTGCAATCTAGTAGGACTAAAAGCAGTCATATGAACTACTCTGCAATCTAGTAGGGCTAACAGTAGGCATATGCACTACTCTTCAATCTAGTAGGACTAACAACAGTTTACTACTCAGCAATCTAGTACGACTAGCAGCAGTCATACGTACTACTCTTCAATCTAGCAGGACTAACAGTAGTCATATGTACTACTCTTCAATCTAGCAGGACTAACAGTAGTCATACGTACTACTCTTCAATCTAGCAGGACTAACAGTAGTCATACGTACTACTCTTCAATCTAGCAGGACTAACAGTAGTCATACGTACTACTCTTCAATCTAGCAGGACTAACAGTAGTCATACGTACTACTCTTCAATCTAGCAGGACTAACAGTAGTCATACGTACTACTCTTCAATCTAGCAGGACTAACAGTAGTCATATGTACTACTCTGTAATCCCGATGTGTCAGAACGTTTCATACCTCAGACTCGAAGCACAATTATCACGTAGCTAAAAACTGTCCAATGGGAGTTTGAACCTAGAACCACAAGAAACTAAGCCCTTTCATTACCCCTAGACCATCTCGATTTCCCAACAGCATTTAGTGTTCCATATAAAATTTTCATCTGCTTACTTTATCGGAATATTTTAAGAAAATAAAAAATTATTTTTGTTATTGTTGTACAAATATGTGAGTACCAAGAGAAATAATTAGCTTTACCATTCCATCTCAGTATTTTTGGACATTCCATAACCATAACAACCAATATATACTGTTTTAGTATTCCTGCGGAGTGGAAAGAAGGCGAGCCAGTATTCAGTCATTGTACAATGTACGTGCGAAACTACAGTGAGCTGCGATCACTACCTTCCAGTCAACACACTCTAGTGGACACAAACGTCACTAGCTGTAAACATGGCTGGACGTTTGACTACTCCCAGTACGCCACTACTGTAGTGACAGAGGTTAGTTTAATGCTACAAACCATGTTTGTGTGTCTTCTTGAACAGGCTTCGGCGGCCATTTATTCGTGGTTTTGGAGGGATGACAGTGCCTGAAATCCTATAACGTCCCCTCCAAAAAAACCCCTCAGAAACTTGTTTACTTGCTAGGATTACTGTACAGAAGTCATTTGGGCCTGAGTATGGCAATGTACATCAAAGTAGGTGAATAGAATAGCGTGTCGTAGTTTTTTATACATTCATTTTGCCCAAAGACCACATATCATTTCCTAATATATGTCTAAATTTGAAAATTCCTGGCAAACCCAAGATTGCTTTGTTGGAACAACAGTTTTAAAACTGGTTTTGTAAAGTTACTTTATCAATATAAGTTAAATAAACCTAATGATTTGTGTGATTACCTTCTGATGTTTTGGTAAAAAAGTTAATATTTGTAATGATCACGATGGTGAATATAACTGGGAATTTAGAGAGAAATCCGTTAAGGAGACCATTAGGATCCAATATGTGCTGTGTTCTGATAATAGTATATACCGTCAAACTCTACAGATATTTCGCACTTAAAAATATTTTAATTTTAACTACGGTAACAGGAGATGGACGAAAAGTGGGAGTCTGGAATTAAATCCATGGTAACCGGTATTATTACTTAGACCATTTCCAATTGTAATTTCTAGGTTTTCGCAGCTGTCCAGCTTAGAAGATCTGTGTCCTTAACTGTAAACAGGGAGCGTCCTTTGACTCTAAGGACCTTTATTCATAGCCAATAGTTTGACAATATCGTAAATAAATTCACAATAATAATTAATCTTCGTATTTCCTTGTTTCAGTGGGACATGGTGTGCCAAAAAGACTTTTATAGCACTTTAGCACTAGTTTTGTTAGGAGCTGGGGGCCTTATTGGGAACTATATATTTGGATATCTGCAAGACAGGTAAGACCGTAACATAAGCTATGTTGTTTATATTTTTACAACCACAAAGCAATAGACCCATATTTGAATCGTAATTACAAGATTGGAGCGTTCGTTGTGTTTTCCTCTCAACATTTTTATTATTTAAAATGTTCAAGCTGAGGATATCTTTAATGCTAGTTTGTCAGGGTGCAAGCAGAACCTGATTTGCAATATTTATATTAGAAATATGCTATAAGTTATAATATGGAATGTTATAAACAAGATAAAAAAAGATACGTGGAATAACAAATCATATATAGTCTTTATAGAGTCTTCTTTTTATATAATTCATGCTGCTACTGTGAATATAAGTCTTTAAAGATGTTTAACATTGAAATTTAAATAACCGAATGACTTAATTCTTAAAAACTGAAATAATTATCAATTTAATATCTCTCGTATACTAAATTAATGGAACTTAGATAACCAGTAGATGAATAGGGCCTAATGCAGTGTATAAGTAATTAGCCATGTATTCAACCCCCAAGAGGACCAAAGGTGTCTTCATTTACTCTATTTGGAATGGAACTCAAAGGAAGGTCTTTTCGATGTTTTGCTGACTAGAATAAGTTGAGTTTCTATAAACATCATCCTACACGATCTAATATCTTAATATCTTAAGGTGTTTCCTTTTTCATCGTTCTTGCTAAACAAAGGACGTTCTGGTCACTTTACAATACAATTTTCAAAGAAATATATAAATTACACCACTGAAGTCTTATTGTATGACAAATATCAATTCACATTTAATTGGAATATAAATTTAATTCAATAAACAACCATTCTTGTTCTAAATCTATTACTTTTTAGTTGCTGGCTATATGATAGTAGTTTGATCATGTTTAATAATATCTGAAAAGCAGCATTGTGTATATCATAATCTGAGTTGTGTTCGATTGTATTGTAAATACATTAAAGGATATACATTTCTTTGTTTTTTGTGTATTTCAAAATTTAAAAAAATTAAAAACATGTTATCGTTTGTTTTTTTCAGTTTAGGTCGGAGGCCTTCATTTTTCATTTACCTATTTATAGAATGTTTCTTCGGAATCGCCACCGCCTTCGCTCAAGACTTCGCCACCTGGACGTTTTTTAGAGTCGGGGTAGGCTTTACAGTTCCTGCTATTTTGGGCACACCATACGTCTTAGGTAAGACAATATTAAAATGTTTTATTGGATATGCGTATCTTTATAATAAATAATTAAACACACATAACTTTTAATACAAACTTAAGAGGCATCTAAGACAAGTTTCAACCTTAAAAGATTAATTAACAGTTAATCATACGTATAAGAGACCAAATCTTTTACGTGAAGTAAGAGCTATAGAACAGCATTAAGTAAGAACTAACCAAATATTCTTTGAATTACGGCTGGTGAAGGATTTCGTCATAATTCCTTAGCAAATATAAAGCTAACCATACTGAAACGGTAAAATAAAAATGGTTTCTTATGATTTTTTTACTTATCCGTTGTGAATCAAATAGTAATCATAAATGTATGTCTTATAGTTTGTTTTAGAAAAATCAAATTAAAACATAAAAATCAGGGTGATAAAATTACATTTTTAATAAGATAATGAAACTTACCTAACTTACCTAACTACTAACTTAAGATCATGAAAATACACTTAATGAATATAAAACATACCCAGCCAAAAATCTAATTTTGGATTTCGTATAGATAAAATGATTCAAAAGTAAACTGTTGAGTATAGACCAGTGCTCATCGCACTAAAGCATGTATTGTGCTGAATATGCAATGCTCTGCACTGCGGGTCTTAATTAAACTGAAGGTCCAATATACTGGGCTCCCTCATGTATTGTCCCTCACTTACCGTTTCCGTCACCTAGTTATTCCCATTAACCAACAAATATTAATCATATTCAAGCTCACTTCATGGAGAAAGTTGAAACACTAAAATGTGAACAATATTTACACGAGATTTAATGACAAAATGTCTAGTAAATAATAAATCTATAGCATATATTATAATGTATTACCAGGCGACCCAGAATTGCTCGTGGTGTTTAGTTTGTATGTAACGTTAAAAAATGCACATAGACCAACATAAAATTGCAATGATATTATGAAATACAATGTAAAATATGTAATACAAAACTTATATAATTAGATTTTCTCATAATCACGTATTGGTGCTATTTGCAAAATTTTTTTGCACGATACTGTGGTCTCGAGTCGTTTAAAAGCATCGTAGGCCTAAATAAATTCGCATTACTGACACAGTAACTAATTACCAAAATAAAAATGCTCTATCTAAAAATAGAGGTATCATTATATTGTTATTTTTTAAATCTGATCCATTGTTAAGGCCTAAGACTTGATACAGTATTATAAAGGTTAATGTCATATTTAATAGTTCATTGGAATATATTTCACATCGCGTTTCCTCTACCAATTAATTGATAAATTAATTGCCGTTAGACGTATTTCGTACAGTTTTGTGCTAGGCCTAAGAAAATGTTATTTTTGTTAAAAGCTAATTAATTCTACTGATTTCATACTCTACTTTCATACTACTGAGTACATACAACTCATACTACTCATAGAAAGACGGCAAAATAGTTAGTAAAACTGCAAATGAACACTCCGAATGCTCTAGGATGTGGTTTTCTGTAGTATAGTATGTAGTTTCAAAGGCTTAATTTAAGGGTTTGCGAAACAAAGCCATAACATCTACGGTCTGGTACTCATGCTTATTTTATGCTCTTTAAACAATCATTTCCATACAGACAAATAATCAATATTGAAAATGTCTACAATAAAGTACAATAAAAAAATAGTGATAACATATCAGCTGTTGACCAGCATTGTTGCGAGTTGCGAATATTATGTACTCTCTGGTTGCGACAAGTCATTGGATCGAGAAACGTCGCAACAATTGGATCGTCCTCGGCATAGATCAAACACATAAAAGAATGGCGTAATTGGATGGATCTAATATTAATAATCTCTACTTGAGTTAAGAAGTTTTTTTGACAGTTGCATTGAAATAATAATACAAGCATATTTATTTTCGGATCAACAAATAAATGTTAATGATGCATATATTTATGGTTGAAACTACAGAACGTCCTTCGGGTTTCTACTAAATACTCTTTGTTCAGCATTAGTGTATAATCTTTTGTGGTAAATATTCTACGATTTTGAACTTTCGTAATTATCCCATTGCCTAATAAACACCCCAAGTGTATTAAATAACCAATGCTAAATGGTTTTTAAGGGAATGTAATTTTCTTTTGTACTGTATTTAGTTATTTGCCACTGTACTGTAGGTGGTTTCTTATAAACATTGCGATTAATTTATTTATATTAACGTAAAACTGTCATGGCTACCTATCATTCCATAAGACCAATGTTTACATATTAAAATTTCATTTAATTCAATTTTCCCAGATCAGTGGGATATTGTTGATATTGTGGATATTGTATTATGGATATTGTTTTTAGCCTGAAACGAAATCATTGTGCACAAACGTTGCTCGTATTATAAAGCGTAAATTTATACGTATCAGAACAAAGATATTATATGACTTTTCAAGGTGAAGACCATGTTTTACATATACATGTAATACGGGGGATACTAAAATTATGAATTACAACTAGGTCATTTATTAGGAATTACGACTAGGTCATTTTTCACCCTATATACGTATGTGTCGGTGAAATTAACAAATGTCAAAACATTAACTCATTGTCCACATATCTTTCACGTAAGTGTTTCGTTTATTATTTAAAATAGTATGCATGAGTCTATGCCATAGGTAGTATAGCAGAGGCATTTCTTTCATTAATAACAGGTATAACGGGTATTTTCTACGCAAAATGTTTTGACAACACTACTTTTCAAAAGGATAAGGAACTTCTCCCGTTTTCAAGTGATCTGAATCCAAATTTGCAAGTAAAAAAAATTTTCGTTCACTCAAAAACAGAAAAAGTTCCGTTACGAATCGAATCGAAGTGCACTCAATACACCTAGAATTCCACTTTACTTAAAATTAAAATAGTTATCCTTCACTTTATGAACTTTAAAAACGCGATAAAAGGCATCCAACACTTAATTATTTTTTCACCCCTTGCAAATGATAAAATTGTATCTGTTTATATTTTTAATGGACAACAGTCAACAATAACGTTCAAATTCGTATTGAACACATATAATACATCTTACGTACGTTCCATACGCTGCATTACAGATCATTGTGTGCCATTACCGAGTATTTCATTTCTACTACTTTTTAATTCTTTCTCTCATGTTGACTAATGTTTTTGTTGTCTCATGTCAATGTTTAATTGTTACTGTTATGTTACAGCTATAGAGCTAGTAGGACCGAAGCATCGCACTGTTTGTACCATCCTCACCAACATAGCCTACTCTCTAGGACTAGTAGCTTTAGCAGCTGTAGTTTATCTCATAAGAGACTGGAGACAGCTTGCTCTGGCCACGTCTGTGCCTTTTCTATCATTCTTCCTCTACTGGTGGTAAGATTTTTCCATTATTTCCATAGTTTCTATTGTACCGTGTATTTGTACTTTAACTTTGGTATTTTTATATGTACATGAACACAATATAACACGTTTCCCAACTCTTTCAGATGTGTCTACAGATTTACTGTAACCATTTTTATGAACGGTACCGGAGATTCTATGGTAATATATGTTCCCAGAAGGGGTTTCATCTATGACCAACCTGTTACAGTTTCATGGTTCTTAGTGACCCAGGATCAGTTGTAGGATTAGGACCTGTCCGTCAGTGATAAAATAATGTCGGCTATGGCGGTTTCGAGATTAAAATCCCATCGTCAGGCTTCATCGAATTTTATTTTACCTTATTTGAGGTTGTCTGTGAACACGTAACCACGAATATGAAAACACGGGAGGACATAGCTGTACGAATATTTACAACTGGTCTCGTCAGTGCAGGACACTATGACGTGGCACGGCCATGACGACACTAGGATCGCTGACATACAGGTACCTTGGACAATTCAATATTTTCGCGATGGATCGTCATTTTAATCCAATGTTGATGTGTAAGGTTGAGATATATGGTTACAGGTTTTTTTTATGAATACAGTTTTAGTATGTAAATGTAATATAGAAAAGTAAAAGTTTAAAGTTTTAAGTTCGGCAAAAAATTAGATTGTGGTTATATTACTAACTAATTTTTATAAAATACCGAATAATTTCTAGCTACATTCAATTTGTTGATGCTCACAAAAACTGTAATTCCAGGAGATTATTATATTTTAAAAATATTTTCTTGTCGCAGCGAAAAGTAGGTTTAAAACAGCCCACCAATCATATGATACATTAAGAGACTGTTTTACTCATTCCCCCCCCAGCCATGCGGTCTCAGATACACCCTGTCATCTATCATCCCCTACAAGTCAATTAATCTTCTATCTGTCGCATTCTCATGTTCCTGCCCCTATTCCTCTATTTCATCCCACTTTCCAATACATTAACTTTGTTCACTGTATATCACTTGGCACATCGTTGTTCTGCAAACATTTAATTGGATAAAACGTTGCAAAAGTATTTTAAAACTGTGACGTGACATCATGAGTCAAAAAACTTCAAGTTTGTATATGGATCTGATGATGGTATAACTAATACCGAAACGCGTAATCCTGTTGGATATTTAAGGACCACTAAAGGCAGTCTGCAGGTATTGTAACCTTCTTATTTTGATTAGTTAAATTATACAATTAAATTTGAGTAAAAACCCATTCTCCGCTGAAATACATTCAACTGTACTCAGTCCCATTATAATTCGCACTCAATAAGCGAATGACTATTGGGTCTGATGATTGGAGTGTCCAATCGAAATCGATCACCACTTAACTTTTTATATGTATTTACCGTCATGTGATTAAACGATACAAGTGTAAATATATTTATTGCAAGTTTTATTTGACGCATTTTCTACTTTCAGTTAAAAAAATAGTTACCAAGTAAACAACAGATTTAAATACATACATAACGCGTCATATTCCAAAATACGATAAAATTAGTATACACATTTGAAATTTTAAATAAGTCTTCCTTTTCCCTTAAATAAAAACCGAACGAGAACCCGAATTAATTAAGGCTAGAAACAACAAAAGAATATAAGTATGATTAATGAATCTACGTGGATCCATTTGCAGACCACTGTTAGATAAAATGACGATACAAAATTTAAATAGCTATTCTTTCTTTTTATCTAAACTAAAACTTGTAATGTAGGTAATAATAGTGTTAAGTAATATTATATTTAAGATGTCAACTAAAGATTTTGTTTTTTATGACCATTCAAACTGTTATCTTTACTTAAAGTTCAGTTACTTAGGTCACGTTGTCTTTCCTGGTCTTTAGTTATTGTATAAATTTAAGCTTTTCGTAACCAAATGTAGTATTTTCTTGTTTTGTCAATCATAAAACACTAAATTTGCGTATTTTATCTTACGTGGGGATGGTTTTGCCATAAAGTGTTTTATCAGTGGTCCTGTTATTTGACATGCTCCAACCATAACAATAAGTTAAATATGTTCACTTTCTATGTACAAGGGTTCTGCCAGAGTCCCCCCGCTGGCTCCTGGCGAGAGGAAGGTTCGAGGAAGCGGAAAAGATACTAAAAAAGATGGCCAGAGTTAACGGGAAGTCTCTCCCGGCCAATTATATGGTCCACCTTAAGGTAATTCAGACATGCATGTCTTGAAAAATTGTGATAAATAATTATTAAATTAAAATATATACGGCGTGTAACCATTTTCTAAATTTTTATATCATTTTGCATTTAATCATTTTGTATTTATGTATCACAACACTTAAAAAAACATTTACGTTCCACATTATTTGGTTTCATATTGTATGTTGTTTTTTTCTAAATCACTGAGATATAATATATATGAGGTTACATTACCTTAATCGCCAAGTGATCCATGATTAAGGTAACGTAACCTAATATATATTATTATTTGGTTCTTTAAAATGTTCCAAGTGCATACGGAATTAAGTTTTATTTAAGGCAGAATGCGTTACATTGCAATATTATTGTATATTAAATTTGTTTCAGAGAAAATATCAAGTAGAAAGATACATGCAACAGAAAGACAGCGACAAGGATCATAATAGAAGATATGGTGTAATGGATCTTCTCAGAACACCAAACCTCAGGAGGAAAACTCTCATCATCACCTTCATATGGTAAAAAAATGTAGGATGTTGAAAATTATAATCAGCTGTTGTTTGTGAAATAAAAACCAAACAATTTCTCAATAGTAATCAAACACGGAGAGCTGGACGTTGATACTAACAGTCGGATCATTTCATGCAGTCACAACATTGGCTCGCCTTTGTGACTGAAGCGGCACTTGACTGAATTTGTGCGTGCCTATTCATCACATGGCTTAGTGTATATGTGTACCGCACTCTTCTGCACTAGCAAGCAGTACTGTGGTGAAGTTGATCCCTCTTTTATCTTCACCATTGGAAAACAACATAGCACTCCCTTTGCCTCGGGAATCATCAGATAATAAGCTTTTGTAGTTGCCAGCGTAGGAAATCTTTCTTGACCTGCTTGTTCCGTTAGTTATATACAGTATAATAAATAATCCGCAATCACTTCTATTTATGTCAGTTGCTAAAGAGTCTTTGGCAATTTTATAAAATACTTGTATATAATTGAGTTGTTTAGATTGCATAAATGTATTAGAAGCTGAAAGAGTGTAAAGAAATTGTGAAAAGGGGCAACAACTGTTATTCGACTGACTCTAGGTTTTTTAGGTTATGTTTTGGGGAGAGGTATCATCTGACGTCCCCTTTGTTTTGAGTTGGACTAGGAATGCCTTGATAAAATCAAAATGTCTTTATTTTCGTTTACAGTACAAACTGTTCAACAGAATGCCTTAGATGATATATGATTTACTAAACTAAGCAAATACATAACAAAATAAAATATATGGAAATGGATTAAAAAAACACAAATTAATTAAAGAAGATTAAAAAATTAGGGAAAATAAAGCTTCTTTGTGATCTCTTCCATTCATTTTTTTTTCGTTTGGACGTAGAACGTATTATTCATGCATCTAATCGTAAAAAGGTTCCAGTATGATTCTCTACTGTCCATTCATGTTATATAACACATAAGTCCAGCTCTGTTAAAATCTGGGTTCTTTCACTAGGAATTTGATTCTCGTAGCAGAAACTGTATCGGAATGATAACCATCAGCTACTAGATGAGAAGAAAGAAAAACTAAGAACTCTTACATATTTTTGAACGTAATCTTTTTTACACTTACCAAATATAAATTATGTAATTCAATTGTGTAGGTTTACAAACACCTCGGTATATGTTGGCCTTTCCTACTACGCACCAGCTCTGGGTGGTGACGAGTTCCTCAACTTCTTCTTGGCCGGTGCTGTAGAACTGCCTACATACATAGTGCTGTGGCCAGCCATGGAATGCGCTGGTCGACGATGGACCTTGTGTGTAAGCATGGTTATAGGAGGTCTAGCCTGCCTTGGGACTCTACTGGTTCAGCAGAGTAAGTAGTAGCTGTAGTAGATTCGGTTAAATAAATCAGCATCTAATTATTTACTAAGAAATTTAGCTTATATTTCCTAAGCACAACATGCGTAAATGTTTTGTTTATTCTGGTGTCGTGAATCGCTTAACATGGTACTACTTATCTGGCATATTTTTACCCAATTCAAGTTTGTCTAGCTGGCGTGTCTCCAACAGTTGCATTTTTTATCGAAGAATCACAATGCAGTTACAACCTATAAAAATAATATTGAATATGCCAGATACTCGTTCTTTTTACATCGTATTTGAGATGCTAACTAACAGAACGCCCATGACCTTTGCTATTTTGATATCTGTCTACATTTAACAAGTTCCAATGCTTTAAAAACGCAAAATAAAGACATACTCGTTTGCTATTGACGTTTTATTCACAGTTTATTGTGATTTGTCCCTTCAGGAGACTTTTTAACGCTTTTTTTCAACACTTGAGACGTATAGAGTAAAGGTAAGTACATCATAAAACATTATTGTGAGCGATGATTAATAAAACCAGTTGACTGAATTTGTCCCAATAGTGTGGAAAACCAAGACCGCGGCTCCAGTTATACCAGATTAATAACTTATTTCAATTTAGTTTGTCACAAAATTGTTTTGTCAGGTTATTAACCTGACTAAATAATTGTTTTTATTGCAAAGTATACCAGCTGTTCGCATTAATTATTTGTATAATCTATTATACACTATCCGTCATAATATGTAAACTCATCTAGACCTCACAAATAACGAATTTTGAAAAAAAAAAGCAATAACCCTACATATCACACATCATACGCTTTATGCACTTCAACCCCTGGTCTATGAACTGGAATTTACACAGGGTATGTAAGTCAAATCTGATAATGTTTACGCTCCAGCAAACCCCTTTCATACAGTCAAATATGCTAATTTGCCCTCCTGAAGTTAATCATAACGTATCTGTGGACTATTTGTATCATATGGTTAAAGTTAGTTAGATATTTCTGTTGCATTTGAAACAGTTAATTCGGGTTTAGACGTACTATAGACTATAGACAATATGATTAAAATATACGTGTTGCATTAATATTATATTTAATTGTTTTGTCTTAGTACTAACTAAACGATAAACATGTGTGTAAAATGGTATTATACTATAAGTATAGTTTTGATGAAACTTGAAAGTAATTATATAGTTCGGATATTTTACTAACGGCCATCGCCTTGTAACACGGGGGTTGGTAGTTGAGCTTAAACAATGAACCACGACTATTAGGAGTCAAAGTATTATTTTAGCCAGAATAACAGCTTAATTTTGTTTATCGAAAAAGTTATCGAAATAGTCAATTAACACTTATTTGATTTGACACTCATCTACACGTCATCATCTCTAAACAATTAGCTTCTTGAGGGTAGGTTTCCCTGTGTGTGTACTATCAATTGTGTAACTAAACATTTTCTCCTCAAAAACATGTACCGGTACAACACTCTAAAACCTGAAAATTTCCTAAAGTAAACTAAACTTTACAATATAATGACGATAGGAGTAATGTGAGGTATGTGTTATTCATGTGTTACTAAACACTTACAGGTCCAACATGGACTCTAGCCCTGTATTGTGTGGGCAAGATGGGTATTTCATCCTCCTATGTGGTGCTACCCCTGGTGGCATCAGAGCTCTACCCCACAGTAGTCAGAGGGTTGGGAATGAGTTTTAGCAGTGTAGCGGGGATGGTGGGGCCAGTACTCATACCCATCGTCAACTACCTCGTAAGTCCGTGCATCGACACCATTCCTCTAATAGTTTGATAAGGGTGATTTACAATGCATATATTTTAACATATTTCCTGTGTAGTCTTGATTTGCGTTAGGCTTTCAAAGATTATTTTACATAGGTTCTTGATGTGTTTATGTAATCCTGTCTACTAGTGGATTACTGTTGAGAATCAACACAATTGTCAAGATTATCTCTCTGCTCTTTGTTAACATTATCACGGTTCTTACATTGAGGTTGAAAACGTTAAACACAAACATAGTAAATTTATATTATACTAACAATGACAATACTATGATACTATGGTCACAGTAACACTTTACACAACGTCTCTGGACCACAATTTGGTTGAAGATCATAGATAGTTGATCTTAGGACCAGAACCACCGGAATCGTTGACTTACACCCAGAGAGGAGGTCACAGTACAACCGGACAAAATCAACGTAAAAAACATCTAATCATGGTTATTTTACAGCATATACGAGTACTCGTATAAGGGAGTAAGGCACATCCCGCCAATGGTATTGCTATATGAATTGTTCACCAGCATCTGTTAAATCGAGCTTTCCTTGTTTCTGGTAGTGTTAAAAATGATCTAATCAGAAACGCTACAACCACTATAACGAAGCATCACAGAGTTTTTTCGGTGGGATGTGGGAAAGATGGAAATCTAAACTAGTTTTAAAATCTTCCTCAGAAATGTAACCAAATTTAACATATGTGCTACATTTAAAATTTTACATATAATATTTGATCTTTAACTAAGCAGATACTTAAAATTTGTATCAAGAGAATTTAGTTTAACATTTTCAAAATTATTTATAAGATTTGGGTGCTAGAAATTTTATGTGTGCTCTATATAAACATACACGGCACAGGGATCGGAAATGCTGATTCTGCCTCTTCTGATCATGGGAGCTCTCCTCGTCTCTGGAGGACTGATAAGTCTTCTGTTACCAGAGACGCTACATCGTCATCTGCCCCAGACACTTGAGGACGGTGAAGAATTCGGTGGAACTTTACTTGGTTGTTGTCCTAGGTAAGCCTGTAGCCTTTAAGCCCTCAAGCGGTAGCCTTTTCTACCTTATCTTTACGATTCATGAGCAAAACCCTTTTTTAATGTAACTATATATTTCTGCTATTTCCATAACATTCTTAGCTGCAAAAATTGTTTTTCTTATTTGTTTTGAAGTATTAAAAAATCTACTGTTTTTTAAATATACATTAGACATGTGACTTAGTATGATTTCCACATTATTTCATACCAATACATTAAGTTTTAGTGTGTGGTTTGTAAGTTTATTTGTATATGTATTGATGAGAATAATATTAATATTTATTTTGGTACAATGTTGATTTAGAAACAAAGAAATTCTCGTTGATTTGTACTAATTTTCTAGATTCAAACAGTACATTTTCTTATAAAGTTTTTCAAATCTTGATGATCTGTACTAAAAATCTGTTTACAAGTGTATTTTTACCACATAAGGTATATTTAAAATAAATGGGTTATTTTAAATAACAAATTGGGTTAAAAAGGAACAATAGTTACCCTGTACAGGAAACGCTACATAGTCATAATTATAATATACATATATTAAAAGTACAAGATATAATATAAGTAAATGAGGAAATATATTTTAAAGGCCTACAAAAGATTATAAATAATTTCATGTTCCTAATAACAATTAAGAACAATAAAAAAGAACGAAATAAACAAAGAAAAATAAGTCGGATGTTTCAAATCATACACTCATGCATTACCAAGTATTTTCAGAATAAAATGTTGCATTAATTATTTTAAACCTATTTGATAAATGTTAATACCGAAATCTTCTAAAGCAAGGAGTATAATTAATTACGCTCATGTCACAGGCAAACATACAAGTTTTGAAGAACCGCGCCAAAGGGAATCTACTTTGCATCTTCTCACAAGAAAATTTATTAATTACAACACAACATGTTGGTGAATGTGAAATATGAGTGCAGATTTTATTCCTAAATCATGTATTTATTCTGTCTAAGATAGATAACCAAAGATAGCCTACATAGTGTTTAACACTTATTTTCAATCATGTCAATATCTAGAATAGTTATTTGTGTAACTAGTGGTGAAAGTGGCACTTTGCTGCACACTAGAGCAATGTTTACGCACGAGCCGCAGGCGAGTGCGGAATGATCTCGAGTGCAGCAAAGGCCTTTTTCACTCGTGTTACACATTATATTTTTCCTACAGTCACTTTAAAGCATATCAATAATTAGTCTTTCAAACACTATACAACACGTTTTTAGGTTCAGCTGGCAACACAAATGGTGCCCTAGAGAAAGTAGTACCCGCGGTCCGTATCACTCCGCTATTTTTCCTCGGCAAGAAATGTGCTCCGTGTTTTGAGAATATAGTTCCGTATGTTTTGTAATTTGAAGTGGTTTCCGTGCCTAAAAAAATGCTTTAAAGGTATTTTCTTGTTTATTTAGATCGTAGGAATGTTTTAAAAACGTTTAAAAGAAAAGTCCAGTAAGTTCAGAAATACCGAAACTATAAACACGAAATGACAGGTTAAATCGTAGTTATAATAGTCAATCAGCTGCTCATAGTATTATTATCTTTAAGTGTTGCCAACCTATTTCCAAGCGTACACGGATTACGTGCATAATAGAACCACGCTGTTTTGTGTTGTTTCGTTGGAATCCTGATGTGCGGCAAAGTATAAACCGTACGGCAAAGTATAAACCGTACGGCAAAGTATAAATATGCAGCAATTAGCAGCTTTCTGTACTATAAACAGTACAAGGAAGCCAACTTTGTCGGGTGACTGTAGGAAAAGTTTATTTGTTGTTTGTTTTAAGAATTGTTTATGACAGCGGATAATATTTCAGGTCTGCACCAACCGATCTTAAATTGCATGACCATGAAACCAATCTAGTATTGGTATGGTTATTTATTGAGATGTATTTCCAAATATATTGTAAAAAGGGTCTTGACAAATGTTTGGGGGGAACTACACTAATTGCGAGTATTTCATTTTAGCTACAAAGTTGGCGATGTAGACAAACATGGAAAACCTCCTCCAACTATAGTTCCTGAGTCACCAATTAAAAGGTTTGTATAAAATAGAGCAACATATGTTTACAAAAAGGAAGACAAAAACATTACCAATATATTAAAGTGTGGAAGAAGATCAATGCTTTAGTTTTAATACAGCCCATCTATCATTAGTAAATATTTTGTTTATAAAATTCGAATCACCAAACAATTAATAATAAATTGGCATAGTCAGTTTAACTTTATTTCAACTTAAAGGTTGATTTATATTTATATGAAATGTAGATGATATTAGTGAAAATCATGACACATAAATGCAAATGCTGTTTTCTATCCAATGTGTTGTGGTTCATGTAAGGAAGTCATGAATCCTTTATAGTAAACAAATTAATATAGAGCTTTAATTGGTTAATTAAAATTAATTTTTAAACATAAGTAAAAGATAAACTTAGTAAACATATATAAATTACGAGTCAGTGAACTAGATGTAAAAAGGCTGTAAGAGCCAAATGAATATTTTCGTATTTGCTTTCCTTATTTGCAGAAACAAGGCAATTTTGTTCGCCCTAAGGGATGAACCCGATTGAATCGAACAGCTTCGCAGAATCTATTCTCCTAGAATCTCTTACGTGAAAAAATTTTAAAAAAAGCAGGACAATGTGTCTAATGTCTAATATATTGAATTTACTGATATATTTTAAGTGCATGTATTATATATAACAAGTTTATTACAGCTTGCTGACAGCTGTTCCAAAGGAAACGCCACTTTCTACCCCAGTGGCTACTGATGGGACGTCATCTACTGATGTAACTTCGGACACTACCTTGTCAGTGCAGGAGCATACAATGAGAGTCACTGTCGTTTGACATTCTCTAGGCATCCACCCTTTTACATACACTAACTACATCTAACTACTACACACGAGCATTTACGTTGTTTGTCAATCCTTCTGGACCAACGTAACTTCATAAACTATCAAGCTAGACCTTAACAGACATACGTCTACTTAACTGACCAAACATTCTGAACCAACGTAGCTAAATGAACTATTAAGCCAAACCTTTACTATACCCAAATACAGACATACATCTACTGACCAAACATTCTGAACCAACGTAACTTCATGAACTACCAAGCCAGACCTTAACTATACCCAATTACAGACATACATCTACTGACCAAACATGCTGAACCAACGTAACTTCATGAACTACCAAGCCAGACCTTAACTATATCCAATTACAGACATACGTCTACTTAACTGACAAAACCTTCTGAGCAAACGTAACTTCATGAACTATCAAGCCAGTCCTTAACTATATCCAATTACAGACATACGTTTACTTAACTGACAAAACCTTCTGAACCAACGTAACTTCATGAACTATCAAGCCAGATCTTACCTATATCCAATTACAGACATACGCCTACTTAACTGACCAAAACTTCTGAACCAACGTAACTTCATGAACTATCAAGCAAGACCCTAACTATGTCCAATTACAGACATACGTCTACTTAACTGGCAAAACCTTCTGAACCAACGTAACTTCATGAACTATCAAGCCAGGCCCTAACTATATCCAATTACAGACATACGTCTACTTAACTGACCAATCCTTCCGTACCAACGTAGCTTCAGGTTACGAAGAATCCCAAACCATGTGATTACAGTCAGATGTTTCCTTCTAGTTGGCCAAACGTCTTGTACCAAAGTAACTTAAAATATTATCACGATAGACTCTAACTACACTTAACTAAATATAGACAACTACCTCTTTGGCAAAATCATAGGACATCATCATGTCAGTGCAAAAACTCACGTTAAAATTACTATAGTCTTGATCAGTTTTAAGACTGGCTTACGACGCGCTATCACATTTTTGCCGGTCGTTGAGTACCCACATAATATGTTAAGCTTGTACCGATGTAAAAAATGTGTTTTATAAATCTGTTAATATTCTCCCTTTGTTAGGATTATTCATTTAAAAACAAAGGGGTACCTCTAATGTTAGTGGAGAAGAATATAGTTATAAAATAATAAATGTTTATTAAAATCAATATTTTTTTTCAAAAATCTTAAGAAAACGTTTATGTTAAGAAACTTTATTTACCGGTATATTTATCTAAAGAAAAGGCGTAAGAAATTATGGTTTTAAAATTATGTTAGTTTTTAAGTACATAAGAATTTTTTACATACTTTCTTACCTTTTTACTGTTTTCCAGATGGTATGTGACCAAATAAGTAAGTCTTATTTATTTGTATTCAATATCAAATTGTGTGAGATTGCAAGAAGTAATTCGTCAAAACTTTAGTTTATAACTTTCACCTCGTGCCTTTGAATATTTTGTATAAGATTATTACGTGTTTTCAATAAATGTATTAGTGATTACTATGTTTGCTTAAATATCCCCTTTTTATGAGAAAAGAATATATATTTAAGTGCAGTAAAACATCGTTAATATCGTGTATTAAAACCGGTTAAAAAATTAAATTAAATTTTGGATAAAGAATCTATATATTAATAGGCAAGCATGTTTCTTGAAAACCTTTTTTCTCAGCTAGTGTGCATCGTGGGGAAAATCTATACATACTGTTAGGATGATATTTTACTGTAGATGTGCAGAATGCCTTCATAAATTGTAAAATAGGCCCAACAATAAGCACAAAAAATTATTATAAATAAATCAAAAATAACATGGGCCTTATGGGTTGCCATGGTGGTGATGAAATAACAACAAAATATACACAGAAAATAAAAAAAAAATATTAAATTACAAACTCATGTTTTAAACTAAATTAAAATTAAAACATACCTCGTCTTGCAGTTCAAATAAATAGTGTCTTTTTCAATCCACTACATGTTTCGCCATGTTGGCATTTTCAAGTGGTTTACACAGAAACATTGAGACTTGAAACATTATAATATCCGAATTGGACTCGTCAAATTGTATAAATTTACAAATAAACACAAAACTGTACATACATTTGACACGTACGAACGAAACATATTTATGTAGGCCTACAACACATTGCAACCCGATCACGGCACTGACTGAGACCAAATCTCAGTCAGTGCCGTGATCGGGTTGCAATGTGTTCTAGGCCTACATAATAATGTTTCGTTCGTACGTGTCAAATGTATGTACAGTTTTGTGTTTATTTGTAAATTTCTACAATTTTACGAGTCCAATTCGGATATTATAATGTTTCAAGTCTCAATGTTTCTGTGTAAACCACTTGAAAATGCCAACATGGCGAAACATGTAGTGGATTGAAAAAGACACTATTTATTTGAACTGCAAGACGAGGTATGTTTTAATTTTAATTTAGTTTATACTAAGCAGTTCAGGGGCTACAAAATGGAATTTAATTCATGTTTTATTTTTACAGCTTGAGGTGAAATAGAGAAATATTTACATTACATATTTTTGGGTCGAGTTTTGGTCCACTTGACGACCTCTAGAACTTTTAAATCCATTTAAGAGTACATAGAAAAGTAAAAATGGTGTGACTATTTAGTGGCCAATTCATACATGTATTTATTTTATATGGTAAACAAATCAGCGCATCGTCACGGAAAATAAAATAGTTAGAGTTTAGAATTTACGTAGGGGGCTTCTTTTAACGTCAAGAAATTTCATTAAAGATTATTGTTTTCACCTAAGTGGATTGGAACTAGGAGAATTTCTGAACTGTCTCAGACGCAAGGCAATAATGACATTCTTCTTGAATAACCGAACATCGTTTGAAGGTGTCAAATGAAAAATGGATTTTCATTTTGAGACATAAATACTTCCACAACCATTTAAACTTTATTGCCAAAGTAGTTTTGTGACGAATAATTAAAAGCTTAATAATTTGTTCATTGTCACAAAGAGTGAATTATAGCTAGTAAGGGATTTACTAAAAACTATTTCTTCTTGTATGACATGTTTTGTGGTCATCCATATTATTAGGTAAAGGAAGCAGTTTTCATCACCAGGAGCGAAAGTAGCTCTTTTTGGTACGCAATCGTGTTTATCGATTTTAACGATTGCTAACGAACTAAAAAATTTGCCATATATTTTTTTCTGTTCCCTATTTGAAGTTACCTAAAAAATATGATTTTCCTGACGGTTTAGAGAACTAAAAACGGCTTGTTTCTGGACAGCATGATTAACACTTTGAGCTGAAATCGCTTGCATTGGCAATCATCTGGAAGAACAAAACCAAATAATTATGGAAATAATAGATAAAGGAAACATAATTTTCTGAGTTTACCTCCAAGCATCTAACTTTCAAGAACCCTTAACGACGTGCAAGCCATTAGACCCATTGTAAGGAAACAAAGATTATAAGTTGAATAGCACCGGTTGTGCTGAATGGCGAATGACCCTGTTAAAATTACCTATATATTATTAAAAAACAATACTTTTACAGTAACTCTTCATTGCTATAATACATTGTAAATCATATAGTTAGACTGGACCCAGCCACCCTTCATTATTGTTCTTTTGATAAATAACCCAAACATAAAAAAACTGCAATTCACTTTTTTCATGCTACCTTTACCCTTCAACTGTATTCAATTTGATTACACGACACACGCCACTGTCATAATAAATTAGGTACTAAAAACTGTTAAAATTAAAAAAAACTATTTAAATTATCAAACTTCTAACTTGCAGTAAAAGAAAACTCACTTAAAACAACTCATGTATTTTGAAGAAACAAACAGTCCATGTTTTCCTATTTGTCTCCCTTGTGTTGATACATACTCTCAAGAAACCCCTAAGCCGCTTAACGACATAGTGGTGTTACTAAAAGTCAAGGCACGGTTGTGTCAATTTGTCTAAGCTGGATTATTTTTTATGTTCGGAATTATCATATCAACGGTCAACGGTGAGCTGATGCTAGTGAGCACTCCTACATATCTAGTTATTATGATGAACGTATGTATCCTAACACAGGCGTAAACAGATGATGACCCTAAGGGGGGGGGGGTCACACTGGGGGTTGTGGGAGTAGCCCCCCTAGATACACCACTGTTTCTCAATAATGGTTTCCTCCGTAATATTCCCTTTTAATACTTCCTACTTTACAGATTTTTACTTTTGATGTGTATTATGAAAGCTTATTGTCTATTAGAGGGACGAATAGTAAAAGGGGACTTACCTTTGGGCCCCTGTAAGCCCTTTAGTTATCTGCGGGGATATTTGTTTTTTGTAAATTATATATTTACCTTAAACAGGAGTATTGGATTGACCTATATGACAATTATACTGATATTAATATTAATTTGCTATTAACATGTGAAAATACATAATCAACATCATCCATAGCACGTAAAATTGATAGTCCCTGGAAATATTGTTTTCCAATTTGCAAGTGTTCAAAACATTTTGATGAATGGGACAATCATTTATCCTTGATGATATACAGTATGCTTGTGACGCCAGAGTTTTTATCCACGACCAAATGTAAAATAAAATATTTATGGTAGATTTAGCGTAAAAACTTATTTCAAACTTTTACTTATGTCACGTTTTTATCATGAGATAACCTTCAGCTGATTACGGAACTGTAAAAGGAAAATAATATAATATGAATCATAAAATTAACACTTATTATTTTGAAACTATATTGATTATTGTGTATGCCTAATCATTATTATAAAGTTAGGGTTGTAATAGAAACCCCTCATTAGTATAATTATTTACAAAATGTCAATACTAATGTTTCAATAACATGAGGCTATTCTACAGTCGTAAACATAAAATAATTATACTATACTGAGGTTGACAGCTTCATTAGCTATTTTAATAGAGTTAGTAATATTACATAAACCTCAGCGTGCTGACGGTCCCCTTCCTCCTGGCTATTGATGGCGGGTTCTGCCTGTCAGGGATTAGATAGGTCCCGAGTGTTGCTTGCACTAAATGCGTCGGGGCGCTCTACCATGGACCTCTAGGTCTCGACCTAGTGGAACCCAGGTGGGGTGACGCTTAAACAAGCAGCCGGAATCCCTGGTTAGGATTGAGGGGCAACCCTCCTTCCGAAGGGTCTGCTTCGGCAGCCGGCGAGCCTGATGACCTTAAGTCATCCGCCCATGATGTGCTAAAGGTTGATGCGTAAGCTTCGGCCTACATCATGGGGCCCGGGTATGTCCTAAAGGATAGGTACCGGGTATGCAGTCAGGGGGCTTCGGCTCTCATGACAAAACGAAATGGAATGGAAGTATAAGTGTGTGTTCGTTAAGGTCCCTCCTAGAGGCTTAGTAATGTTTTGTAGTACACTGGACACCCCAATACATTGGACCTGTGGGGAACCGGAGTTTTGCCAACGGGTGTCAGGTAGATGGGGGGATGCCTTCGGCCACCTCTTGGTGCGGAGATTTGCCAACGGTGGTGGTGGGAGAAAGAGTGTGAGGGAGGGAGGGAGAGCGATTGTCAGGGTTGTCTACGCTTGGCAGTTATGCGTTTGTCGCAGTGGGTTAGGTTAGGTTAGGTTAGGTTAGGTTAGTTTAGGTTAGGTTAGGTTAGGTTAGGTTAAAAATTCAATACATTTCCTTTCACAGTCAGAGGTGCATAACTGCATTACATACTTTGAACACAGTCAGCATCCTGCCTGGTTTGTCCACCCCTAGCGGAAGCCACCCTCATGGTCACGTGTAATCTCTCTCTCTCTCCCTCCCCCTCTCGCGAAACCCACAACCGATGGCAAAACTCCGCAGTATGAGGAATTCACGGATGGGGACCTTCCTACCTGAATACCCGTTGGCAAAACTCCTACACTCGGACCTGTGTGTCACACAGGGTATTCTCCGTGTAAACAAACTCGACCTTATCCATGTGTGTGTAAACATATTTCCCTCTTCTCCCTAAAAAGTATAAATTAATATAAGGGAAGTTTTGGTATACATATTTTATTATTTTTGTACAACAAACACAGGTATAGTAAAATGTTTGATAATGGAATTACAGTTTTATTTATAAAATTATAACTTATTCAATATAAATGAAAAATATTTTTAAATTAGTTAAAATTAAAACTATATACTTAAGCTAAGGGATGGATTGATTAAATTAAAAGTTTTCAATCGACATGATTTTTTTAACTTGCACCCAAAAACTCTAACGACAAATCAACAGGAAGTATGACTGCTATGCATTTTGTAATGGAGTCATTCGAGCAGTTAAAGTACCTTGTTAGCCATGCAATCGCAAACTTTTAATTGGTTCGTTTTGTTTATAACTGTAAACTCAAATTATGCAAATTGTGTCAAATCACGAGGTTTACTTGTGATTGAAATCCTTCAGGAAACGTTTCCTCAACAAAACATAAGACTTGCATTAAAAATTTCCAATACTCTCATGTGGA